GGGGAGCCAGTGGGAAGGGGGGGAGCAGATGGGAGCTGGGTGAGCTGATGGGGGTGGGGGAGCTGATGGGAACTGGGGGAGCTGGTGGGGGCTGGGAGAGCTGATGGGAACTGGAGGAGTGGATGGGAACTGGGGGAGCTGATGGTGGCGTTGGGGAACAGCATGAAGCTGACAGTCTGGCTGTCCTTGGTGGAGCCCGGGTGGGCAGGACAGGTGAGGCCGTGGTGACAGGGCCTCTGTGTGTCGCAGATTCTCTCTCCCTACAACAAGGGCCTCATCCGGCGAGCCATCAGCCAGAGCGGCGTGGCGCTGACCCCCTGGGCCATCCAGAAGAACCCTCTCTTCTGGGCCAAGCAGGTAAAGGGGAGCTGCGTTGGGGTGGGGGGAGTGTTACCTCCTTTACATGCCCTGCCCCGGTCACCATGGCCATCTGCCCCGCACTGGCCTCACCTACCTGTCTCCCCACAACCCCCAGATCGCCAAGAAGGTGGGCTGCCCCCTGGACGATACCGCCAGGATGGCCAAGTGTCTGAAGGTCACCGACCCCCGGGCGCTGATGCTGGCCTATAAGATACCCCTTTTGGGACGGAAGTGTGAGTGGGGGCTTCACATGGGGGGATGGACATGCTTCCAAACAAGTGAGGATTGAGGGGCTGCAGCCTGGCTCGTCACTCGCTCACTGGCGTCCCTGGGAGCCCGGTGCCACCAGGGCCCTTGTTGCCTCTGTGGCCTTGAATGTCTGTGCGGAGGGCGCCATCCCTCCCTCTGAGCCTCCCTGGGTCCTGACCCCCTTGGGAAGCTGGTGCACCTTTCCCCCCCAACAATGGCCAGAAACAGTCATTTGCACCCAATTTAGGGGCCTCAGGCCCAGTGGCTGTCAGCGAGATGGTTTGTCCCCATGGAGCCTGTGGCAGTCTGCACACAGTCTGGGTTGCCACACTTGGGGGTGCTGACATCTAGTGGACGGGCCAGGGAAGCTGCTCCACACTCGCAGGGCAGCCCAGGCCTTAGAATTATCCAGGCCCCATGTGAGGGGGACAGGCTGAGGACCCTGGTCTGGATCAGAGGAGGCAGAGGCTGCCCCTGGGCCTGGGGTCTGGCAGGGGGGCTCTGGAAGGTACAAGGACCCCTGCTCTCCAAGCAGACCTCTTCCTGTACTCTTTGGGCCTCCTGCCTGTCGTGGATGGAGACTTCATCCCCGACGACCCCATCAACCTTTTCGCCAACGCGGCCGACATCGACTACATCGCTGGCACCAACGACATGGACGGCCACCTCTTTGCCAGCGTTGACGTGCCAGCCATCAACATGGACTTGCTGACCGTCACAGGGTGAGTAGGGTTCAGGGCTAGGGCAGTGCCTGGGGGCCTCTTGGGGAGGCCTCAGCTGGAGAATGTTGTTGGCCGGTGTAGCGGGCCATCCACAGTCCCCTTACGGTAGTTTGGGGGATGCCTCCCGCTGGCCCAGGCCCAGGGTCCAGTGTCGGCTTGTCCCTGCAGGGAGGACATCTTCAAGCTGATCAGACAGGTCACCATCGCCAAGGGGCCCAGAGGTGCCAATGCCACCTTTGACCTCTACACCGCATCCTGGGCCCAGGACTCCTCCCAGGAAGCCAAGAAGAAGACGTTGGTGGAATTGGAGACCGACATCGGCTTCCTGATGCCCACCAAGATGGCCGTAGCCCAGCACAGAGCCAACGCCAAGTGAGGGCTGGGGCAAGGGTGGCCTGGGTCACACACCTGCCCAGCAAGGCCTCCCCAGTGGACAGCTCATGGGGTTAGGGAGGCCCGGGAAAGCCGTGATGGGGTCCCAGCGGTGCCTGCACCATCTGTCCTGCCCAGGCCTGAGGAGACTGAGAAGGCCCCTCCTCACCTCCCAGCTCTGGGGCCTTTACAGAGCCCTCCTCATGTTACTGGGAAACCCCCGGGTGGGCTGGGGTTGCCTCTCCCTGTGTCCAATAACGAAGGCAGGGTTGAACCATATGAGGCATTTATTGAGAAGGCCAGCCAACCAAGAAGACAGGGTGCTTACAACCATTCAAATCCTGTTTTCCAGCAGGTGTAGGGCACAGGACTATAAAGGCATAGGGGCTCGGGGGCTACGTACAGCCCTGGGTGTCCGCAGACATCAGCTATTGTAGTCACTGAACCATGAGATGATGTGGCTGAGATGATGTGGCTGAGATGATGTGGCTGAGATGATGGGGATGAGCTGATGGGGATGAGCTGATGGGGATGAGATGATGGGGATGAGCTGATGGGGATGAGCTGATGGGGATGAGCTGATGGGGATGAGCTGATGGGGATGAGCTGATGGGGATGAGCTGATGGGGATGAGCTGATGGGGATGAGCTGATGGGGATGAGCTGATGGGGATGAGCTGATGGGGATGAGCTGATGGGGATGAGATGATGGGGATGAGATGATGTGGATGAGATGATGGGGATGAGATAATGGGGATGAGATGATGTTTTGACTCCTGGTGGGTCTGTCCCTGCTTATCAGTTCTGCTTGCTGGATTCACAGCTGAGTCACCTCCTTCATTGCTTTGCACTGGCCTTCAAAGGAAACTTAAGAAAAACTTAACCCCCTATTCACATAAGTATATGTGTTCTAAGACTAAAAATAATAGGGTTACCTTTCAGATTAATCCAGGTGCTCTATCTATCAGGTTATCAGTCCCCCATTCCCTCAGCCCACAGGCCTCCCTGCAGTGTCTGCAGCCTCCCTGCAGCCCCCAGGCTGAGGGGGACAGAACACAGGATGATGGTCTCTGTTGTGGGTGTGGAGTTTGCCAACATTCAAAACAACTTTGGCCTGCGGCCACCTGGTAAACCTCCAGTGAAAATAAAAAGTACATTAGGGATGCCGACAC